AGCTTCAGTAGATTTCTTTAGTAGAACGTGTAGATCAACGTCTTTGAATTGGTAAGTTTTTTTTTTTTATTATTAATTTTGATTTTTTTTTATTGATTTTTTTTATCTTATAATTTGTAGAAATCAACAGTTTCGCACTTTCCGGATCGAATTGGTAAGTTTTCACTTAAAAACTTTTTTTAAAAATTTTTTTTTTATTATTAATTAATTTTTTTATTATCTTATTTTGTAGTTTCGGCTTCCTTATCCTGGATGATAGGATCGATTAGTAAGTTTCAAAACGGTTTGTTTTGAAACTTTTTTTTTAAAGTTTTGTTTTTCCAAATTTTTATTTCAAATCGGACTTGGACTTTATTTTTTTTCTTTAGTTATAGTAAGACGACTTTTAACATTCGTTCTTTTCAAGATGCGATCATGTGATTGTGAAATTGTGTATAATTATTTTATTTATACATTAGATAGATGCTAATATACATGTACTGTATATTTAAGTGTTTTAATAAATTAATAAATTTGAAATTGAACTAAATTAATAAATAAATATTGAGACAAAATTTTGTGTCGAATAATCATCCGAACTGCTCCTCAATTTGACGCCACTATTAGACCTAAATTCAACCTAAATTCAACCTAAATTCAACCTAGTCAAATTTAGGTCGAATGGTAGTGTAGTGATGGCCGAATTTTCTTTCCAAATTTGAGACGATTGGCACCCTAAATGCGCCCAAAAATTCGACCTCAATTTGACACAGGTTAGATCATCATTCGACCTATATTCAACCTGGTCAAATTTAGGCCAAATTGTCTTTTTTCGACTAGTGTAATAATGAACATATAATGTTATAGCTCAAAAAGTTTCACCAATTTTCTTAATATTCGTTGTTATTTAAAAAAATTCACACATGTTTAAATTGAATATGATCAGCAAATAATTTTTATAAAAAAATTCAGCCCACATTACACAAATCACTAATTAGTCATGATCAACATAATTATGCATAAATATTGTTCTTCCATTTATAAAGCATCAGGCGAAATTTTTTTTCTTACCACTGCAAATTTTTTTTTAATTTCTTCCTATGAATTTTATTTGAAAAAACTCTCAATGGATTCTTTTATCAAAAGTGCTAAAAAGCTGGTTAATTCATACGATTGTAATTGTGATAATGAATGTAATGCAAAATGGTTTAAACGAAATTTTAAAAATTGGACTAGTGGTAATAATAATATTGATAAAGTTATTCAAGATACTCAGCTATCAGAACATAATAATTATAGTGTAAAAAATGCATTAGAATGGATACCTTATGATAAACTTTATGATATTAAATATATCACAGAAGATAATAAGTTTGGTAAAGTGTATAGAGCAAATTGGATTGATGGATGTATATATAAATGGGATAATGATAATCAAAATTGGATAAGAAAAGATCAAAATATGTTTGTAATTCTGAAAATTTTAAATAATCCAGCAAGTATAACTTCAGAATTTATAAATAAGGTATAATAAATTTATCAAAAGTTTCATTTTTTTTTTGTGAATTATAATATAAATTAATCACATTTTACTATGCCATTTTATGAAAAAAAAGTTGTTTTAAGAAACAAATGGTTAGTAAATATTTTATTTTTACTAATATTTCTAACTTTAATATACTGTAGATTGTACCTTATAAAGTTTATGGAATAACTCAAGATCCAGAAACCAAGAACTATATGGTGGTTTCGGATATCAATAAATGTGGAATATGTTATAATACATGTAATTCAATACATTTTCAACGAAATTTTAAAAATTGGATTAGCGGTAATAATGATATTGATAAATTTATTCAAAATACTCAGCTATCAGCTCATAATTATTATGATGTAAGAAATGCATTATAATGGATACCTTATGGTAAACTTTATGATATTAAATATATCACAGAAGTTAATAAGTTTGGTAAAGTGTACAGAGCAAATTGGATTGATGGATGTATATATGAATGGAATGATGAAAATCAAAATTGGATAAGAGGAGATCAAAATATGTTTGTAATTCTGAAAATTTTAAACAATTCAGCAAGTATTACATTAAATCCTATAAATAAGGTATATTTTTTGTGAATTATAATATAAATTAATCATTGTACTATACCATTTGTGGAAAAAAAACAAATATTTATTTTTACTAAGATTTTTATCTTTAATTATTACATTATAGATTGCAGTATCTTCTAAAGTTTATGGAATAACTCAAGATCCAGAAACCAAGAACTATATGGTAGTTTTAAAAGATGTATGTAAAAAATGTAATGAAGCATGTAATTCAATGCATTTTCAACGAAATTTTGAAAATTGGACTAGTGGTAATCATGATATTGATAAATTTATTCAAGATACTCAGCTATCAGAACATAATAATTATAGGGTAGAAAATGCATTAGAATGGATACCTTATGATAGGCTTTATGATGTTAAATATATTACAGATGATTATATGTTTGGCAAAATATACATAGCAAATTGGATTGATGGATGTATATATAAATGGGATAATGATAATCAAAATTGGAAAAGAGAAGATCAAAATATGTTTATAATTCTGAAAATTTTAAAAAATCCAGCAAGTATTACATCAAAATATATAGATTTAAATAACCCAGCAAGTATTACATCAAAATATATGGATAAGGTATAATAAATTTATCAAATGTTTCATTTTTTTTTGTGAATTATAATATAAAATAATCACATTGTACTATGCCATTTTTGTGAAAAAAAAAAGTTGTTTTAAGAAACAAATGGTTGAATATTTTATTTTTACTAATACTTCTAACTTTAATATATTGTAGATTGCATTATCTCATAAAGTTTATGGAATAACTCAAGATCTAGAAACCAAGAAATATATGGTAGTTTTAAAAGATATATGTAAAAAATGTAATGAAGCATGTAATTCAATGCGTTTTCAACGAAATTTTGAAAATTGGACTAGTGGTAATAATGATATTGATAAATTTATTCAAGATACTCAGCTATCAGTTCATAAGGATAATGAAATATCACATGCATTAGAATGGATACCTTATGATAGGCTTTATGATGTTAAATATATTACAGATGATTATAAGTTTGACAAAATATACAGAGCAAATTGGTTTGATGGATATATAAGTTGTTGGTACAGTAGTTATAATGGAAATCAAAATTGGAAAAGAGAAGATCAAAATATGTTTATAATTCTGAAAATTTTAGATAATCCATTAAAATTTATGAATAAGGTATAATAAGTTTCATTTTTTGTGAATTACTATAATGTACCATTTGTGGAAAAAAAATTGCCAGATGTTTAAAAAAATAAATAGTTGAAATTTTTATTCTTACTAATATTTTCTAACTTTAAATACATTATAGATTGCAGTACCTTCTAAAGTTTATGGAATAACTCAAGATCCAGAAACCAAGAACTATATGGTAGTTTTGGAAAATATATGTGAAAAATGTAATAAAGTGTGTAATGCAATTCATTTTCAAAATAGATTCATACATTGGACTAGTGGTAATGATGATATTGATAAATTTATTCAAGATACTCAGTTAACAGCACATACTTATAATGAGGAACAAAATGCATTAGAATGGATACCTTATGATAGATTTTATGATATTAAATATATTGCAAAAGGTGGGTTTGGAAAAGTATATAAAGCAAAATGGGATGATCATAATCAAAATTGGATAAGAAAGGATCAAAACATGGTTGTAGCTCTGAAAAGTTTAAATAATTCAAGAAATGTTGCATTGGAATTTATGAATGAGGTAAGCTATTTAACTATTCTTAATAAATATTTAATTTAAGTATTAATACTTATTTATAATATTTATAGATTACATTACATCATAAAGTAAATTTGCATAAACGCTTTATTAAACTTTATGGAATAACTCAAGACCCAGAAACGGAAAATTACATTATGGTTTTAGATTATGCAGAAAATGGAAGTTTGCGAAATTATTTAGACACAAATTATAGTAAATTGAGTTGGAGTGATAAGATTAATTATTTACATAGCATTGCACATGGACTTAAAGATATTCATGAAATAGAATTAATTCATCGGGATTTGCATATTGGTAATATATTAAGGCTCAAAAATCTCACTTGTATAACTGATATGGGATTATGTAAACCTGCTGATTGTAATACATCGGAAAATGCAAAAAGCAAAATATATGGTATTTTACCTTATATTGCCCCTGAAATTTTACGTGGACAAAATTATACAAAAGCTGCAGATATTTATAGTTTTGGTATAGTAATGTATGAAGTAATTTCTGGATTACCTCCGTATTATGATGTAGGTCATGATATAAATTTAACAATGAAAATTTGTAAAGGACTTCGACCAAGATTTAATATTAAAGTGCCTCATTTGATTGTGCATTTAATTAAAAGATGCTTGGATGCAAATCAATCAAAACGACCAAATGCAGAAGAAATTAAAAAAACTTTAAGTAAATGGCTTAAAGAATCAAGTGATTTATTATATATTAGTAATCTTAGTAATTATACAAGTATTCAAAAACAAATTAAGGAAATAGATGAAAGTTCATCAAATAGCAGTATAACTTCGACAAATTTAGGAATATCTTATGTAACAAATTCAGAAGCTGTTTATGCCAGTAGATTGCTTGAATTTAGTAATCTTCCTGAGCCAAAAAATTCCGATGATTATTATGAAGTAAATGATAATATAATTAGCATGAAATTTTCAGGTATTCATTAATAAAAAAAATTTAATACTAATTGTAAAAAATACTGATAAGGTTTAATTTTTTGATAGAATCCTTACAAATTGATATTTCTCAGCTGAAAAATAGTAATTCTTTTGAGCTAAAAAATTCTGATGATAGTTATGAAAAGAATGATAATATTAATATGAAACCTTCAGGTATACTTTTTAAATAATTAATAAAATCAATTATAAATAATTAATAAATTTTTAATTCATTGAATAGAATCCTTACAAATTGATATTTTAGTACAGTCTCCTGAACCAGATAATTCTGATGATTCTTATGAAAAAAATGATAATATTATTAGTATGAATTCTTCAGCAGGTATTGATTAATAAAAAATATTTATACTGTTATTTAAAAAAAAAACACTAATTTCTTTCATTAAATAGAATCACTACAAATTGATATTTATCAATTGAACACTAGTAAAGATGGTAATTATTCTTTAGATATGTATAAAAAAAACTAGTCAATTGTATAATATACTTATTTTGTTTATTTTTTTAGACCAGGATAGAAAATCTAAAGGCAAAGAAAAAATTTAGACCAATTATAACCTTTTGCTATTTTAGTAATTAAATTTTTAAATTTTTATTTTTTTTTCGCTATTATAGTTTAAAATTTTAATTATTATTAATCTTCAGTGGAAAGGTAACAAATTTATACTTTATTATAGTTTAAAAACGGTCTTATTTTTGCTTTTCAATAATTAGTAAATTACAATTTTGATTAGTTTGATAAAGTTAAGAAGAAGAGGAATGATGGGAAGTTAAAAGTCGAAAAGGAGTAATGGGAAGATAAAGAGGAGTAATGGAAAGATGAAGAGGAGTGATGGGATATGAAAAGGAGTGATAAGAAGATGAAGAGGAGTGAGGAGTGATGGGAGATGAAAAGGAGTGATAATAAAATTTAAGATAAAAATGGAAGAATAGGAGTAGGAATAGAAATAATGATAGTTATAATTTTAAATTATACTAGCCTTATTGATTAACTTTTACGTATTTATTCATTTATTTTATATTTACTCTATTCATCAATTATATAAAAACTTTTTTAAAATCAAAATATAATTTAGTTTTGTTCTTAATGAAATTGTAATAAAATATCTATAATTATATTACTGGTAATATCTTATAATTTATCTATTTAGACCGAATTTACATAAAACTAGTAATCCATAAATTTAATAGTTCTTCAATAATACTAATTCTATATAAATACTGTATTAAACTCTTTCCGACGATCATCTTGTCCACAAATTTTTAGGAAAAAGATGAAACAAAAAACGGAAGAGGTTTTATATTAAAATGTTTTTCGGAGCCAGACAAACGTCACCAACTGAATATTCTCTCTTTTACGGACGTTTCGAGACGAGTTTCGAGCAAGGACAAGAAGTACGAAGTCCGACACTTACAGAAATAGTAAAAATGCGGTTAGCGATTAAAAATAAATAAATAAATAAATACTGTATTATCTCAATTTAATTCTGACAATTTTTTTTAAAAAATTTTATATTAGGAAAAGTTTACAAATTTTATTGAAATTGTTATTTAGTTAATTTTTTTTTTTTTTTTTTTGATCTACTAGCGAAAATTCCATATTCAATAAAACTTACCGAAACATAAGTCATTGACATATCATCAACTTTTTATTGTAAACGTTTTTTTAGCAATATTGAAAAGGAAATTCAAAAATATTTTTCATCCCGAATTATTAAAAATAAATAATACCTTGATTGCAATATTCACGCTACATTATAAATAAGCAGGAATCGAATTTCTATAATAAATTATTTTTGGTGTACTTCAGTTAATTAAACTTTCTGAAGAAGTAAAAAGTAAAGAAATCATAATTTTAAAAAAAATAACTAGATTTATTTATTTATTTTTTTTGATAAAACATTATTATTCAATATGGAATTAAAAAAATAATAATGATTCTCAAATAATTATTATGTAATGATCAATTTAAAGACTTACCTTAAAAATTCAAGAAATTTTTTCCCATTAATGTAATATTCGGTTACGATTAAAAATACTTAAAAATATAATTGATTAATAATAATTGTCACTTCACTTTAAACAAATAAAATTGAATTGAATATATTTTGTTACTTCTTAATGATATTCTAAATAAATAAATAAACTGAAAATATTAGTCAAATTTACAATCATATTCTTTTATTTCTTTGATAATTTAAATAGCTTGGCTTAATAGAAAAAGTGAAACGAAAGGAAGTTCAAAGATAATATTTTTTTTTAAGAAATACGAATTATATGATTGACATATAATAATTTAAATGTATATTCACTATTTCATTGCCTCCATGCATCATAATAATCGACATCTAATTTCTAATAAAAGATAATACAAATTTCGACAACAGGAAAATGTAATTACTGTTTTTGCATTTGTGTGAAAAAAACAATTCAACGTCACAACTTAGTATTTCTTAGGGCTATTAATAACTGTCGTTGTTCTGTTTGGCAAAAAATAAAAATATAATATCAGTTTGTTATCTAATCAAAATTTAGACACTCTTTCAATATTACAATTGTATCACCTTATAATTCTTTTTTTACATCATCTAAAATCACATTGTTTCTTTCTATTTTTTCTAAACTTGATTCTCGCTGTTGATACCGTTGTTGCTACCATGGTCCATTAGACCATGTAGGTCCTGCAAAATTTCAAAATTACTAAATCCTCCTGGATATTAAACTGATTTATGGGAAGCTCTTTAAATACAAAGATTTAAAAATGAAAGTGGAAAAAACGAATCTTGTCGCTAGATAAAGAAATTTATTTGATCGACATTTGCAACAATTCAATATTATCATGAACTGTATAATAACAAATGGTCCAGAAGAATCAAAGTCTAGTAAGTAATATTATATAAACATTATTTTAAACATAATCAAAAAAAAAAGAATTAAGTCAGATACATTAGGACCCCGAACAATATATAAATAGGTCATAGGAAATTGGCAAAATTTTACTATTAGCTCTACGCATTTTTTCAGGGCCGGAATTATGATAATGTCAGTCAGTTACTAAATAAAGTAATATATTTCTTACCAACGTTATCAAAATTTATCTAAAAAAGGAAAGATTTTCATGATTATTTTAGCCTATTCTACGCGTTATTTCTTGTTACCTATTTCAGTATTGCTCGGGGTCCTGATACATTACATCGATCTTGACGTTACTTTCAACAAACCTAAATTTCATCATACAGAAAAAAATTTATAATGATTACCAGAATTTTAATAAGATTTTAACATTAACAAAATCAAATAATTTTATTTATTTTCTTTTTATTTTATATCTTAGAAGTGATGATAATTTAAAGCAATCACTCTAATAGAACTATTTTAGTCATTTAAATAAAATCTTCTGTAATTAAAAAAAAAAGGTATTGATAAAGCATTAAACACAAGAAATTGAGCATGGATAAAAATCCATTGATTGGTTCAATTTCAAACATTGATCAGCCAATAAATTGTAAATTGTCGATCTCACGTGATATAAGAAATTACGTGGACGAAAAAAAAGAAAACTTTATTTTTCATAAATTTACAACATTTACAATAAACAAAAAATTATTACAGTTTAACCACCAGTAAAAATAACTGTGTATATTCTCACAATATATAAATCATCCAAATTAAATCATAGAATAATGAGAAATTATGAAAAATATAGATAATTAATTATCGTTTTCTTAAAAATTAATAGCTAATTTTTCTGTGATTCAATTTGAACAATCTTCGATTTTCTGAAAGAGAAAATGACGCTCTTTCCAATAACTAAAAATTATCATGATTCAATACGTCCATCTATAGTTATGGATATTTAAAGATACATAACCTTATTATTACATAAATAACAAAAATATTCAGTTTGATTTATAAAACCTATTAATAATTAATTAACTAATTAATAATTAATGACTTATAAATTCTATGTAGTTATTTAAACAATGAAAATTTATATTTTAAGGGGTTAACTTTCCTGTTTTAAGGTAATAAACTTACCATACAAAAATATTTCCACTATCTTGTTAAAAAGTCTCTTATAAAACCTCTTCATTTATTTTTCATAATTAGCTGTATCAACTGGATGAGACAACTGAATCTGTCGCTCGAGACATTAAAACTTCAGAAGGTTTAGCTACGTGAAATTAGTGAGGTATGCTGTCGTATATATGACATAACAAATTTAAATGGAGGATAAAATGATTAGCAAATTGTAACGTTTGAGATTAGTCTATGATAATGAGATGCTTAAAACTGATGCGTACGTAAGAAGCTAAAAGGTTTAGGAATTTATATGTTAAGGATTATAATTTAAAAATGATCTGCAAAATGGTAAGATTAACGATTTGGCGATTTGACGATTTGTCCTAAATGTCCATAAAATCTTAAGGATCTTAAGGGGTATTTAATTACGTCATTATTGCTTCTATTATTTGCATCAACTTCTAGAGAAACATATTCAGGTTTCACAACGTCATTTATCAGGATCTATAAAAGATAATCCGAAATCGAATCTCATTTGTCGTAAGAAATTGTAATTTTAAAATATTTTTTTTTTTTTTTTTTTTTTTTTTTTTTTTTTTTTTTTTTTTTTTTTTTTTGTAATAATAGTAATCTATTTATATACGAATATTCTTTCGTATTCAAACAGAAACTTTTACGAACCAATTTGTTAAAAGATATGTATAAAGCTCAAAAAAAAAAATTTCATTTAATATCAAAATTGTTAAATTTAAATTCAATATTTGCAGAACAACAACAATATAGCAATGGAACGTAAATTTGTCATTTATTGTATGTAAATTGGTCATTTGCTTGTCATTTTTTTAAATAAAACTGGGATAATAATATAATGTAAATCAGATACTTATTTGAATATTAACTGATCGAAACTAGTACAAATTGTTTAATTTTCGTACAACTTTATACATACAAAAAATGTGCCAAATGAGCTAAATTTGAGAATGAATATTATATGGATTTTTTTGTTGATTATATATTGGATAAATTTCGGATGGAAATTTTTCATAGAGGCAATTTATATTTTTAAATATTTTAAACAATATAAATGTAAATTTTTGTAATAATACTTTTGATAAATTAGCAGAATATTCTTATTTCATATAACACATTTTGAAAAGATTCCAATATGTTGTTGTAATGATTATGGTAGGGATCATTTATTCATTTTATTTAAATAACGTCAACCTTTATAACGAATAAAAAATTTGATTTTTATCAAGAAGAGATTTATATATATACTCTGTAAATAATTATGTGACTTATGTACTTTTAATATATTCTTTCTACGGTACGACATTTATTAATAATATTGTAATAATTTATAGTAATATTTTTTTTCAAAATTTATTGATGACGTCTTATATAAGTGAAAATTACACTAACCCAGTGGCATCGACAAAATTTAAACTACCCCAGTGGCACCGACAAAAATTTAGCGATCACGTGATTTTTCTCTGTCACATGACATTTTATCATCACATCGTAAATTTGTAATACGTTAATTACTGATTGTCACTAATTACTAATAAATGATAACGCAACCGTAACACTTAGAAAAAAAGGGGGGGGGGGTTTTTTATAACAACTTAGAAAAAAAAGGAAGTTTTTTTTATAACGACTTACAAAAAAAAATAAACTTCCTTTTTTTTTCTCTGACAATTATAAAAGAACAAGGTAATATAATAAATGAATTTTTTAAATTTGTTTTTCGCATTTTTTTAAGAAAAACTTAACGTATTTATTTTATAGGAACAGCATACATTAATTATGAGAAGAAAAAAAACATTCTAAACGAAAGTATGTACAATACATACATTACTCATAAAACATAGTATTATTATTATGTTCTTTCCAAGTTTTTGGATTGGTAATTCTATTATTATATCTATTAATATCATTAACTATCTTTCTAACACCTTCTATATTTTTATTAATAGACTTTGCCCATCGAATGTTTGATAATGCATGTTGTTCCCGAATGATTTGCAGTGCCCTTTCTAACGTATTTTCAATCTCAACAAAAATCTCTGTTGATTCTTCTTCTTGAAAATTATCTATAATTAAATTTAATTTAGTTAGTTAATTGTATCTATTTATCATTTTTTATTTAATAAATCTTATACCTAAAGAATTAGATACTCTTGTAGTTCCAGTCGTGATATAATCTATATTATTTTGATTTAAAGGGAAATCATGAGCCTTCATTCCAAGCAAAGGATAAACTCCTTGCCGTTGTACTTCCTTAAAAAATTTGGGTGAAATATTTTCTTTTACAATATTAATCAAATGTTTACAAATAAAAAATCTATTTGTTAAAAAATATGGACAGCTACATATCCATTTTTCTGAATCAGTTAAATAATTAGATGTTTGTGAAGGTTTTCTTTTGGATAATTCTTTCCAATTATGTTTGAAATCCTTTCTCCAAGAAGGTTCTTGTCTACCCATAAGATATTTATTTAACGTTGCTTCATTATGTGGAATAAGGCGGGTAATTGTGATATAAGTTACTAGATCAAGGCGAGGGCGGAAGAATTTTGGTAAATAATCTCTCTTGATAACCTTCCAGTGGGATTCTGTGAGCATTGTAGTTTTAAAAACGCAGATCTTTTCAGGTGAAGCAGAACGAGCCCAAAGAATCCACATATCATCTTGATACCAGTTAGTCCATAGATAAGCCCATAAATGAATTAAATTATGTTTATAACATAATAAATACATTTCCTTAACTGCACTTTCTTGAATGGTTTGAAATGATAAAAATTCATTTTGGGAAAAAGGGATGAGAGGATGTTGATGATAATGTTTAACAAACAAATCCAATACTTCAGAACGCAAATTTTTAGGACAAAAGGCAACATTATTTAAAGAATTAGTAGTTGTTGATGATACAAATGAAAGAATCCATTGTCTATCTATGAAATCATATTGTTGATTAGAATTAAGTAAAGAATGATGACTAAAATTTTTGAGTTCATTATCTGATAATTTTTTTTTAAGAGCTCTTTTAGCATGCCATAGACAAATTTGAATTTTTGCATCTGGCCAAGTAGATTGAGCTGCATTAATTTGTGAAAAGTCTTTATCAGTAAGAAAATATTCAATATTTTTTAATCCAATTTTTTTCAATTCTTGAAAAAAATTAGTTAAAATAGATGTTCTAATTCCATTGTTTTTTTTTGCATTATCTAGAAAAAGATATGCCGCTGAAAATCCAGCTCCATCTATTTGTCCAATGATGGCATATAATTCATATTTGAGTGCATTTGTTTTATCTATAAAATTAGTAAACATATCAAATATATTAAATAAATATGAATGCCAAATACAGATGCTAGATATAAAATATTTCAAACTATACTTACAAGTAGCATCAACTAATATTTCATTATTATTGATTAATTTCTGAAATGGTGGTGTAATAAAACCTATGTATTTGACGTCCCCATTCAAATCCATGAATATTATGTTATAATCATTTTCATTTAATAATAAATGAGTTGAAATTAATTGGTTTTGATTTCTTTCATACTTTTTTTTCATTAATTTAGTCCACCAATAATGTATTTGCTTTTGAGTAATATTTGGATTTCTTAATTCTAGTTGTCCAAATATTTCTGCTGGTGAAAGATGTATTTGGGAATTAATAAATTTTGTTATCTATTCGTCAATTAGATACCTTTCTGGCCTCTTATGAAGTATACTATGCGTGGCGTTGATCGTTGCCTGTTGATCATTAGTATTGATTATGATTTTGATTGCGCTATCACAATCAAACCTTTCTATTGGTATTTTATCTCTATTTTTCTCCTCATTTACATTTTTTCTAGGTCTTTTTGCTAAAGATCTGTCTTGAGAACATTTATACCAATAAGTATAAATTTTGTCATCTTTCTTTGAATGATACTCTTTGCTATAACTATATAGATATAAAAAATAAGTTAATTACAAATAATAAATAATTAACTGTTAACATAAAAGCCATTTAAAAGAAACTAGTACTCACATATAATAATATCCATCCACCTCGCCAATAAAATTCTTTACGTTGTCTGCCATTTCTTTTGGTGTTTTATTTGATAGAAAAGAAATATCAATAATACAAGAAAATTCTATTCCAGATTCACAATTTTCTAAATATTCCTCTTTCCCAATATCATTAATCATCTCAGATAAGCGTTGATCTAATTCTTTATAACTAAGAATCAAAAAATTTTCGTCTGGAATCAAAATATTTTTGTCTGTTTTTTTTCTTTTACTATTATATTCATTATTTTGTTTTCTACAAGTAATACATCGTTTATAGAAGTTACCTTTTTGATTATTAATAAAAAGGGACTGATCAAAAGATTTATAACACTTTACACAAGTAATCAATGTCATTTTATTTTATTTTATTGGAAAAAAGTGAAGAAAGAGAAAAAAAAAGAAATTGTTACGCGTATTACATATTTATTATTATGATCCAATAATTAGTGAAATCATTTGTCACAGTAGTCACGTATTACAAATTTACGATGTGATGATAAAATGTGATGTGACAGAGAAAAAATCACGTGATCGCTAAATTTTTGTCGGTGCCACTGGGGTAGTTCAAAATTTACTGCATACTGCGGTGCCAAAGTTGAGCATCGACTGATTGATTGGTAACAGGTAATACAGGTAATACTAAATGACGCTGTACGCTTGTACGACTATCATCGGAGAAAAAAAAGTATAAAATAGGTATACACAATAAAACTTTAATAATTTTTACTTTTTCACTTTTTCCTTAACTTTATTGTTATCATTATTCAATAATCAATACATTTGATAACGCTCAATAATATCAAAATGCAAGATACCGAGTATACAAATGAACAAGAATTTAATGATATTTCTTTAAGTACTAATAATTCAGAATTACAAGGAGATTTATCTCAACTTATTCAAAATTTTGATAAAATGAATATTAAAGAAATTGATCCTATAGTGATATTAAATAAACAAGAAAATTTTGCAATTGAAGATTTTAACATTATAGTTGATCTAATACATGATTTTATTTTTAAATTTATAAATAAAGGACTTGAAATATATTCAGTGAAACAACTAGTTATTGAATATTTTAATAATTATAATTTAAATTCACAAAAATTTTATAATTGGTTATTAGATAATCAAAATAGTTTAAATTCTATTTTTATTCTTGGATATTTTGATTATTATGGAATTGAAATAAATAAAAATTATGAGAACGCATTTAATTTGTTTATTAATGCGTCAGAAAAAAATCATATTTTAGCACAATATTTTGTTGGTGAATGTTATTTTTATGGAAAAGGAACTATTAAAAATGGTAAGTTAGCTATTGAATATTATGAAAAAACAGTTGATAAAAATTTTACACCTGGACAAGTAAGCGTTGGTTATTGTTATGGAGAAGGAATAGGTGTTGAAAAGGATTTAAAAAAGGCTTTATATTGGTATGAAATAGCTGCAAATAATGGTAGCCTAATGGCAATATTTAATCTTGGTAATTGTTATATAAATGAAAGTTGTATTGAAAAAGATTATAATAAAGCTTTTAAATTGTTTAAGCAATCAGCTGAAGGAGGATATTCAGAAGGAATAATGATGCTAGGATATTGTTATTATAATGGTATTGGAACTAAAATTAATGAGCAAAAAGCATTTGGATTATATCAAAATGCTGCAAATTTGGGAAATATTATAGCACAACATAATCTTGCTTTAATGTATGAAACGGGAGATGGAATTACAAAAGATATAGGTAAAGCAATTTATTGGTATGAAAAATCTGCCAAACAAGGATATAAAAGTGCACAAAAAAGATTAAAGAAACTTCAAAAAAATCAATAATTTATAATAATTTTCCCTTAATTATTAAATTGTAAAACTTTAAATCATTTATTTACAGAATTACAGTATTTTTTTTTACAAGGTTATAAATTTAAAAATATAAATAAATAGATTGTTATAATTTTAGCTATTTTATATATATAATCATTTTTATATATAGTAAATTTCTTTTATATTTTTTTGTAATATCATAATATCTTTCTTTTTAAATTAAAATTTCTTTCAAATATTAAAAATTTTAAAATGCAAAAATTTAATGCTTACATTCTTTCTATATGTGGAAGTTGTAAATTAGCAAATCTTCAAAAATTCTATCATTACTAGATGATATTTCAAGTTCTTGTGAATTTACTAATTTAGTAAGAAATGAATCTGAATTTTGGTTCTGTCCAGCATAAATTTCTAATTTGACTAAAGTATCAGGAAGTTTTGACAATATTAAAGTTAACCTATGCAATATTGTACCAAAATATTTTAAATTTTTTTGAACAGGAATAAATTTTCTGAAATTAAATATGAGAAATGATCTATGTATAATAATACAATATTGTGACATATTTTTATAGTTGAATAAAAATTTCAGATGTAAATTTCGAATCACATTGTAATTCTGAGATTTTTAAATCAATCTTTAGCTTTAGGATGAAGAATAAAAATTGGCGCATTATGACCATATTCAAATAAAAATAACTCCTTTAAAGCAGAGACCTGATTCTCATAAGCATTTTACAAATTTTTTGCATCACTATTTGTTTATGTGTACTACTGTAAAAAATATGTAATAGAATAATTCTTTGTTTACTAATTAGGCTTGAAATCCTTTTTAAATATGTCTGATTGATAAAACTATACAAAATGATGCATAATTAAATATTGGAAATTTTGTAGTTGGGTTAAAATTTTGATTCCATTTTATATAAAATTTCTTTTGATTCACTTGGAAGACAAGAAGCTAAAGTACTAATATTTGAAATATAATTACAACTGAAGCCTCACACCAAGTTGATTAACTAATAAATATGAATATAAAGTGAATCGACCATCAGTCATCTAAATATTCAAAAATATCATTCAAGCAATCTGTCAGAAGTTGAGACATTTGTTTTATATGATAAACGACTATAATTTTTAAAATAAGATGAAAAGTCGCTTTTTATGATTGAAATAAACTCCTGATCAACAAAGGATCTAACCTTGTCTCAAGTCTCTTGATTAATACCTAGCCATGGCGCAGCGCATAAAATTCATGTGCACATTTTTTTTAGGGAGCATAATTTTAGTTGTGTGAAGTTTTATTAATGTGCACAAATGAATTGTTCAGATTTTATACACTGCTATAGTAAAAAAAGTGGCTATCATGTGATTTTTGGCCTGCATTGCGCCGTTATGATGAAATTTTATGTGATGAATAACTTGTGACGAATAAGTTTTCTCCTACTTGAAAAAAAAATAGTGAAACGCGGAGGGTGAGGCGCCGTGATGAATAAATGGCTGTCATGTAACAGCCATATTTTTCGCTATAGCTAGGTTTTCTAATTACTTGATCATTACCATACTCTAAGAAATTTAGAAACCCTTGATTTATCATAGGAAGTACATAGCCAGAGAATATCCAAAAAATTGTTCAGTTTGTTATTAAAACATACAATAAAAGTACAACGTAAAAAAACTAATAATTCAAAAACGTTCTTTTTTTCTTTAATGAACATACATAAAAAAGAAATGCTATCAAAAACTATAATTGCTCCTTTTTATAAAATTTTTTTTTTGAAACCAACTTTATTATAGAAAGAATATATTATCTTTTTATTTTATTTATTTATTTATTTATTTTTGCATTATTATTAATTACTATAAATACTCGCATTGTAAATACAGTACATTAAATAATTACTGTATTGAGAAAAAGAGATTTCCAAATAACAATCCAGCCATAATTACATTGACTAATTTGACTATGAAATCGTTTAAGATTTCTGGAGAAATTCATTTAATTATATGAAAAGGATATCAAATACTAACCTAATCCGCAATAACATTTCTATCTAAAAAATAATTAAAATTGAAAAAAAATTATTTATTCAATTTTTATTACATTATATCGTTCTGTAATTATTTACAAAAATTTTGTGAGCAGTATATTATACTTGCATATTTTATCATTTCTTTTTCGAATTATATGAAGAATTTATTAGCAGATGGTCTTTATAAAACTGCAATTTTAAGAAGATTAAAAGCCGAACTTTTTAAATTAAAAGTGAAAATGTTGATTAGATAACATCTGATAATAAAAATTCAGGCAATGTTATTTAAACTTTTTAAGGAATCACCAAAACTCTATAATAGTATAAACTAGTTGCACTGCCATATTGTGCCCGTGTTAATACTCTAAGATTGAAAACTTAGTTGGAACTTGGAAGGGTATAGTATATTTGAGAATCCTAATTAAAAAATAGGTTAGTAGTTATGCATACTATATTGCCTTCAACGAAATAGCACTTAAAACATATTACTAATTAAATTAAGTATAAATAAAGTGCAATGATATTACACGAAGATTTCATTTATCTGGCCTTTAATATTGTCAAACACAAATCTGAAATTTATCTGATAACGTGTTTTACCTAATTTGAAATACCGAAATAGTGTAGAAGTTGTAATTTAATTGTAAGTAAATTAAAAAGAAAGGTAAAAATCAATATTTAATTTACGTGGAGAATAATGAAAGTAGGATTATTAACTAAAGGAAAGAGAGAAATTCAGATAATACTTTATTAATTGCAAACTGTATGAGACATACCGACAGAAATACGAAAATTTAATAAAGAGATTGTTAATTAAGAAATTTAATATGAAAATTGATGTAATTGATTATTTGATAAATAAGAATGGAGAAAAAATTACCGAAATTAATTATGGAAACTAATAGAGACGAAGGAATAGTCTTAGTATGCAATGATAAACAAGCGTGTAGCTACTACAATTAATATAGATGAAATTAATATTGATAGAGCAATATTGACCTGTAAAATATTAGATTTATATCATCCACTTTTTCTCGTCAGCATCTACAATTTTGACAATTAATTGGAAGTCACGAACTATACTAAGTAAACGGAAACTACTGAAATCCGTCGTTTATTATGATTCTCTGTAAAAATAATAAATATAAATCACATATTACAAATGAATAACAAGTAATACAAAAATTGTTTTGATGAGCAAGGCAATTTTATTTAGTACATAGCAATAGAATGTCCATCGCTATGCTTTAGAAAATAAAAAAAAATTATCTAAAAAATAAAATTTAAAATAGAATATAGTACTACCTTCATGTTTTAAATAAAATTAGAAATTCTGGATTATTAATTTTTAGGCCATATTTTTTCTGATGCATTGATCTCATCAAATTGTAATACTGTACAATGAATGACATACTCTATCATAGAAGAAAAGACACTTAAATAAAAAGAATTTTTTGTTTAAACGTTTATTTAATTATATTTTTATTGCAAAAATAGTGACGTGGCAAAATGATGTAAAATAGAAACTAAAAAATGAAAATATTAAAGTACTCAATCAAGAATCGAAGATATTATTCAATGTGTGGGACAAATAGTACATATATATATATATATATATAATACAGTAGACATAACTAATAAAGTTATTCTATCTAGCTACTAACTCGTCTATGACGGAAGCAGGCAAACTACACCTACTTACTAAGTCTACTGCTAAAATATACTAAATACATAAGAAAAAATAAAGCTAATTAATTTCCATCCGATAGAAATGTTTTGACGTTAGGCAATATTGCCATTTGACTACGTATTTTAACCCTCACTCGCGTCCAGAAAAAACAAACCTTACTTTTCCCATTTACCAATGGATCCCTTTCAATTCGAAAAATATATTTGTTATTCAATTGTCATTGTTACCCGCTTATAAAGTGCTCGATTTGTCCAATACGAATGTCAATATTTCCTCACATGATTTGCTGCGATTCTGCCAATCGAGTGAAAAATTGTCCTCTGTTGATGTTTTGTGTAACCACAAATCACCTCATTTCCCGTAAATCTAATTGGTACCTCAAAAATTCTTCATTACCATTTTGATTTACGATCACGTGATAATCTGATGCTGACTGCCACAAGGGAGATTTGTTTAAGCCACAACCGCATAATCCTTATTTTATTTGCTAATCTTATTGGAGCAAAATGCTGAAAAAAATGCTTCTCATAATCTTGATGTGAAAAATAAACAAGTTTATTTTTTTTTCTTATCATAGAAAAAATCTGTATGGTGGAATACGTGATAATAATAAAGCACTGATCTGCATTGGAAATTCCAACAATGGGATCGTTTAAATTTGGACAGTATTACAGCATTAAGAAATTATGCCAAATAAGGAAATAGTTTTCACTAACTGAATAAATTCTAATTCCCCAGAATACTTACTAAAAATGAGGACATGTTGCAACCGAAATTTTTTTTTTTATTGTAATTTCTACTTTTGCTTAAAATATTCCTTTTTATAGTAAATAATAAAAAAATTTTTTGTCTAAAAAATTTGTCTATAAAAAATAAAATTTTTTTTTTCAGTAAAACAAATTTCTTAATAACCAATGGAAACTGTATTTAACAAATTAAATATCTCGGATAAATATACTGATACAATAGGTACCAAAAATTGCTCATATTGCAATATACCTTTTACTGATGAAGAATTGTGGTGTAAGGAATGTATTAATTCTTTAGAAAAATTAGCAGAAAATGGTGATAAAGAAGCAATGTTTAATTTAGCCAACTGTTATAAGAATGAAAAAGGTATGGAAAAGAATTTAGAAAAAGCCTTTAATTGTTATCAAAAGGCAGCAGAAAAAAATCATGTTGATGCAATGTTTGGTTTAGTTGCATGTTATAGAAAAGGAGTAGGAACAGAAAAAAATTTTGAAAAAGCATTTCATTGGTGTCAAAAAGCAGCAGAAAGAGATCATATTGATGCAATTTATCGTTTAGCTGCATTTTATAGAAATGGAATAGGAACAGAAAAGAATTTAGAAAAAGCATTTCATTGGTGTCAAAAAGCAGCAGAAAAAAATCATATTGATGCAATGTTTGGTTTAGCAATATGCTATGAAAATGGAGAAGGAATAGGAAAGAATTTAGAAAAAGCCTTTAATTGTTATCAAAAAGCAGCAATAAAGGATCATATTGATGCAATGTTTAGTTTAGCTAACCACTATTATATTGGAGTAGGAACAGAAAAGAATTTTGAAAAAGCATTTAATTGGTGTCAAAAAGCAGCAGAAAAAGATCATATTGATGCCATTTATTGTTTAGCTGCATTTTATAGAAATGGAATAGGAACAGAAAAGAATTTAGAAAAAGCCTTTCATTGGTTTCAAAAAGCAGCAGAAAAAAATCATATTAATGCAATATTTGGCTTAGCAATATGCTATGAAAATGGAGAAGGAACAGGAAAGAATTTAGAAAAAGCCTTTGATTGTTATCAAAAAGCAGCAGAAAATGATCATATTGATGCAATGATTGGTTTAGCTGTATGTTATGGGAATGGAGAAGGAACAGAAAAAAATTTAGAAAAAGCATATCATTGGTATCAAAAAGCAGCAGAAAAAGATTATATTGATGCAATGTATGGTTTAGCTACATTTTATAGAAATGGAGTAGGAACAGAAAAGAATTTTGAAAAAGCCTTTCATTGGTTTCAAAAAGCAGCAGAAAAAGATCATATTGATGCAATATTTAGTTTAGCTAATCACTATTATAATGGAGAAGGAACAGAAAAGAATTTAGAAAAAGCATTTCATTGGTATCAAAAAGCAGCAAAAAAAGACCATATTGTTGCAATGTATAGCTTAGCTGCATTTTATAGAAATGGAGTAGGAACAGAAAAGAATTTAGAAAAAGCCTTTTATTGGTTTCAGAAAGCAGCAGAAAAAAATCATATTAATGCAATGTTTGGCTTAGCAATGTGCTATGAAAATGGAGAAGGAACAGAAAAAAATTTAGAAAAAACCTTTCAGTGGTGTCAAAAAGCAGCAGAAAAAGATCATATTAATGCAATGTTTAGTTTAGCTAATCACTATTATAATGGAGTAGGAATAGAAAAGAATTTAGAAAAAGCCTTTTATTGGTTTCAAAAAGCAGCAGAAAATGATCATATTGATGCAATGATTGGTTTAGCTGCATGTTATGGGAATGGAGAAGAAACAGAAAAGAATTTTGAAAAAGCGTTTCATTGGTGTCAAAAAGCAGCAGAGAAAGACCATATTATCGCAATGTATTGTTTAGCTATATTTTATAGAAATGGAGTAGGAACAGAAAAGAATTTAGAAAAAGCATTTCATTGGTTTCAAAAAGCAGCAGAAAAAGATCATATTGATGCAATATATAGTTTAGCTACATTTTATAGAAATGGAGTAGGAACAGAAAAGAATTTAGAAAAAGC